CACGTTGTATTCCGCGGTTGATGCCGGGGCGAAGAGGCGCTGCCGCCGTTCTGCTGAGTAGTGGCTGTCTTCTTGGTATTAGAGTTTCCAGGACCTTCCCGAGCCTTTGTATTCTTTCGTGGTTTGAAACTCGAAGGCCCGCGCTGTCGAGGATTTTGACTTCCTGCCTTCTTTGGAAGAGTCACGGTTTTCGCGGCGATAGCGCCGGGGAAGCGGATGGACACCCGAAAATTGCCAGATGAATCCCTGTCACCGAGGCCCAAAATATAAGGCTCGATGCTGTGAATTTGCATCGGCTTGAGACTCTTGAACCGTAACCGGGATTGCGATGGTGCTGGAGCGGCATGCCAAGCTGCTGGAGGCGCAGCATTGGGAACTCGGACAACGGGTAAAGAACCCGCTTCGCGATCCTCGAAGATCTCCTCGGTCTCTTCGACTTGCTTGGCGCTGGCTATTCCGTCGCCAACTTGAGTCATATCCTCAGCAAGAAGGGGGAGAGATACAGACACCGCGGCAATATGAAGCTGGACATCGAGAGGTTCTTTCGATGCTGACGTGACTGCCAAAGCATTTTTCTTCTCATGTACAGTCTTCTTGCCGAAAAGACAGTTGATCTTCTCCTGCCAGGAGGTTGCAGTTGAGACGGGTTGAGCTTGAGCTGGGACGCGAGGAGGAGCGGCAACCATAGAAGCAAATGTAGGAGGTGGTGGCGGTGCAACTATCTTTGGGGGAAGTTTGACAATGGGCTTAGGGGCGGGAAGGTGGACCAAAGGTCGGGTAGAATCACTCATATATACTGGATGACTCGACAGTTCCTCTGGTGGTGGTGGAGACGGGCTTCGGAAATGCTCATCTTCCTCAAAGGCTGGGCGTTTATATTGCTCCGTGGCCTGAGGGAAGAATCGAGAACTGCGAACTGGCACACTGCTCAGTGGACGAGCATGAGTATCAGCGAAGGGTAGAGTCGCGACAGGATGATCAAAACCAGGCAGATGGTTAGAGATTGAACTTGAAGTGTCGGTTGGTCTATGAATACCGACAACCTGCCTCTGTCCACTCTGGTCGCCAGTGCGTACCTGTCGCCATGTTTCATTGAATGTGACATGCAAAGGCTGGCTATCACGCATTGTGTTCATCTCGTTTAGGAGTTTCTCATTCTCTTCCGCTTCACGTTTAGCAGCAACCGCGTGGAAATTATTCCAAGCGGTGGTACCGGTAACACGCGGTTCCTGTTGCCAATGAGACTGGTGTACACTTGGAGGCCCAATTGGCCCTGGTCGGACAGCCGGGGTCATAGAGTCGTACTGCGCATGTCGAACATCGGTGGGAGGCAAAGGAGAGATTGACGTAGACTCTGGTTGGGGTCGAGAGGGGGCAGAAAACGGTTGTGGGCCAGAAGAGATTGGTGGTTGGTCGAGGCCGAGAGGACCACGAAGGGAGATGTCTCTCGACGGGAAGCCCCCGAGGGTTTGATCAAATATGCCATTACCCAGGGTCTTATCGTTACTGAGAGGCTTCCAGGGATTGGCAATAGAAGAAGAGGCGGCTCCGAGTTTAGTATTCGAAGACCAAGGGGAATATGAGCTCGAAGTACTAAGATTACTCTTCCATTGGGAGCTCGGCTCTTCAATTATTGATTCGGGCAATTTCTCAGGAAGACGGGACTGCCGGAAATCGCTAAGCTCCTGAGGTCCTGTGGTAGCCTCCAGTTTAGGATCGCGAGCTGGCGAAGCAGGACGTCGAGCATTGACCGTGGGAGCCGACCGTTCAGCAGCTCGTCCTTTTTCATTCGCGGCGACGAGCTTTTTGACGGCATCGGGATGATGGACTTTCATCATCCCGTATTGCTTCGGTTCGCCAGTTGGCTCCGGTACCGGGGGTTTAGGAGGGGATTGTGCTGCTTGTGTAACGGTCAAGGACGCCTTGGCTTCAGCTTTATCACCTTCCAGAGACTCCTTTTTGGACTTTGGTTTCTCGGGCGGTGGACCCAGTGCCTCCAGCTTCTGTCGAATTCTTTCACGTTTTGCAGCTTCCTCCTTCTCTTCTTGCTCTAACCTGCGCTGCCGAGCTTCAAGTCGCTTTTCCTTCATGATACGTTCCTGCATCGCGACGGGATCTTCCTGCGGCGCTTGCGCTGTAGCATCGTGAGCTTCTGGAGCCGGAGGCACTGATGACTGAGACGCAGCTCGATGTGCGTTCGCGACACTGTCCGGCGGGCCCGCAGCTGCACGTGGAGGCCATGTTGGACCTGGTGGATGGCGGGCCGAGGAAGCCTCATGCATAGATGCGTCCTTCGGATGCACCGACTCTTTGTTCTGAAGGGACGGGTCTATGATTCCATTGACCTGCGAGCCTCTTCTTGCTTCAAACGTTCTGTGCGGCCCATCAGGGCGGCCGATCGACATCCGACGTCCAAAGCTCCCACTTCCTCCGCTAACGTTGGATGAAGTTCGCCGACGCGTCCAATGCCCGGCATCTTGGCCACTTGACCGATGAGTTTGGAATGCTGGAGAAGGCTCCGCAGGTCCTGCCTGCTCACCTGGTGTCGGCCGCTGTAAAAGAGAAGAAGGGCGGAAGCCTTGCTGCTCAGCTCGCCACGGTGCTTTCCTCTCTGGTACAGGCTCATAGCGACCCGATCTAGAGTTGTACAATTCACGAGTTGTTCCAGAGTGCGTGTCCTTCCACGATCGATTGAAGTCATCCGCCGCAATCTCCTTTGGGTGGACAGTTCCGGTAGGTGGTTCGCTAACTTGGTGTTCTCTGACAGGAGCACGGCCGGGAGGTTGAACTTGAACAGGCGGCATCACTGGGGATACCTTTTCAACAGGCGGCAGTGGGGCCCAAGGTGATTTAGATGGAGGAGCTGGACTTGTGGACGACAACGACGCCTTGTCGTTTGGTCCTTTCGATAAGATGGTTGCGCTCTTCGCCTGCCTTTCCGCATTCGCGCCAAGCCTGAGAACGGTAGGATTGGGTCCGATAGTCGTTGTGGGCTTTGTGACGATTTTGGTCACCTCTTTAATGGCAGGGGCTTGCTCTGGTGCAGGAGATTCGACCTTCGCTTCGTTCGCCGTCTTGGTGTCTTGGCCGGGAGCGTGTACTGCCTCCGTATGAGTAGTAAGGCTCGTCTTGGTGCCATCAGTCCATTCGATCGTCTCAGGAGCCCAGTCGTCTTCGTCGTCATCGATATCGGCCCATTTCGCCTCAGTCCCACCACCATCTTCTTGGATGCGAGAGGTCATATGAATTCCGTATTGCTGCTTGAGCTCCTCATCTGTCAAGTGCTTTGGTGGCGTAGGTTGCACGGCTGTAAAACTCGGATGTTAGAGAGGGGTTGTTCTCCCGAGAAAGGACAAGCAGTGCCTTACGTCTATTCTTGTTCCAGACCTGATTTGGATCAGGTCCACCCGCACCAGCCTTGCCTGCACCTGTTCCCGACTTTGAGAGCGAGTCACGGAGGCTGCTGGTCGTCTTGGCCACCAAGCGCGGACGAGAGCTCTGCAATGGACCGCCCAACGGTGTGGTCAAAGACGAGGGGGCTACGTCAAGTTAGTAGACAAATTACTCGAACGAAGTTGAGGTTGTCTGTACCTTTATCAGACGTCTTAGCCGTAGCAAGCGCACCCGGGGCTTTGGGCACGGAAAATTTGGCGAAAGAAACGGGTTTGAAAGTTGTCGGCTTCTTCGAGCCCACACGCTTACCGTCTGTTCGACTGGCATCTGACTCCGAGCCACCCTGGGAAGCCGTGTCTTCTCCGGCATCCGACACCGAGGCCACCCCGTTCATTTCGAGTGCTCGCGTGGCAACTGGCCCGGGCCCCTGCTTTGAGATATCCTTTTCCTATAACCCGTTCAGTAGCGCATTCACTTTCATATTCGTTCGTGTAGAGACTCACTGTCGATGGTCGTTCAGAATCGTTTTCTGTCTCATTCTTCTCGAGTGATGAGTCGGAAGCACTGGGCTCTGGTTGGCTTTGTGGATCGTTCGTTTCAGTCGTGGTCTGTGTTGTTGCGGTGGTATGTCGAGTCTCCCCCACGTCCCCTCCAGCAGAGATCTTGTCTTTGGTGCTCGCAGGAACGTCGGAAGGCGAAGGCTCGCCGCCCGACAGGGTCTGATTTACCACATCGTGGCTGCTCTGCTCTGCCATAACAATTCCCGAGTCTGTGAGATCCGCAGGTTGCGACATCTGTTAGACACTGGTCTTGTAACTGTGAATGCTGGGATAGTCGCCGCAGAAGCCATATAACTCATAAGAAGGCACAGAGGAACGTTAGGAGAAATACCTATTACCAGGTATCAAGAATCGCCACGTTTAGACTGATAGCTGAATTGTTTGAGCTTGGGGGGAAAAGCTCCAAACGACGAGACTGAGTGCGCGGTGGGAAGTGCACAACTCCAAGGGCTGGAAATAAAACCCGAAAGGAACGGGCAGGCGAAATAGATGCGATATAATACTAAACGCCACTGCCCAAGAAATCCCAAATGGGAGGTCGCAATAAGAGTTGTCTTTCTCAGGTTTGATGACCGGGTGATGGCTGCAGTCATGGGTGACGGCTCATGTTGGAGGTGAGGTGGCTGTTTTGGGTTAGCGTGGGCCGAAAATGAAGTAAAGAGTCAAAATCTTGTGGCTGGAGCCGGAAGGATGAGATGTGTCACAGGCAAGCGGATTATTCACTGTCACTAAAGATTTTTAAAATTGAAAATGATCTTGGATATTTGGTCTTCCAGTCCTCAAAATCTCACATGAAAATCACTGGAGAAACAAAGGGTGGTGTTGGGATCGGCGACACTCCAAATCCTACATCTACACCTCATCTACTACGCAACCGACCAATGCACAGCGACAGTCGCTGTGTACATATTCAACGGGAATTAGAAGAGAAAAGCCGGCATCAAGGCCAGAGCAACTGGGCTGGAGGTATGCCTCTTCTACATTGCTTCGATCTAGGTTCGCTGGTATATACACAGATCCTCCGCAAGCCACACATAAGTGAAGCATTTAGTGAGGGTGGTTCTTGTGGTGGCCTGCAACTGTTAGCAACGCGAAGAATATTTATGGTCGAGAAGAAAACGTACGAAGGTGGAAGTAGTACTCCATGCTGTAGCCGATGAGAAGGATACCACCAATGGCGTGGGCAAGAGCTGGAGCGATTAAGATCAGTAATTGCCGTGTACAAACTCAAGTCGTCCGGAACTACTCACGCGCAGCAGAAGGGTTCTTGCCGAAGTAACGAGCCTGGTAGCGTCCAATGAGGCCAGTGGGCTTAACCTCGGGAGCGGAACCGCGAGGGAGTCTGGCGTAGAAGTTCACAACGCGCTCCATGCGAGCGGCATCCTTGGCGGCACCGATGGCCTTTGTAATATGTCAGTCATTGCATGATAAGGAGAGCCGGTGTTTGTTTGCGATCGATGCTCAAGGTCGTGGTGAAAAGCCTTTACTGGAGAGGGAGGGTACTGAAGGACGTTGAAGAGCATCGAGGGGAAGCCATAAGGTGACTCACATTGGGAGAAGCGATCTAGAAAGCAATCAGCATGTCTTCACTGGAGTCGAACAAACGCAATCTCTGGGTATTTGCTATTCTTCCTTACCTTGGGGGGGATCAAGGTCGAGAGACCTCGGCGGGCGATGTAGCTCATCTTGTCTGATTTTGAATCTGCGTTAATATTCCGGTAACGCTTCTGAATGATAATGGGAATATGAACACCATGTAGCACTTCTACTTACCTAAGTACAGGCGAGTGAACCGTACAATCGATGAAGACGATGTAGTGAGGATGTGCCTCTGAGATCGCGGGTTGTCGGATGAGCGGTTCCTAACGTCGGGAGCCTCAAGCGGCGCTAAACTGAATTTGGTTCTGCCGCAACCACCAGAACCTCGCCGCATACCTCACTCACGATATTGCTCTCGCGCTCACCTGAATCCAACTAGACAAATCCGCGACCATGTCCCTCTTCAGAGCAGGTGGCTCTGCCTGCCTTCGTGCGAGCAGAATTGCTGTGCCCATCAATGCACGTTTCATCTCCACGCAAAACCGTTCTGGTGACCCCGGTCTGAAGACTAGCCCAGCAGACGCACCTTCCACGCCCGTTTCAGACAGCTCCATGGTTCGCAAGGAGACGCCATCTGAAGCAATGGCTCGTCATCAGCCCGATTATGATGCCACAATTGACCATGCTACCTCGTAAGGGAAGCCTGGCTGATACCCGAGAGAACTCCACTGATGGCAATCCAGACAATACTCCCCTGTGCCCAAGCGTGTCATGGACGGTAGCGAGCCTGGCGACACTGTGGCTGCCGCTGTTCTCTCCGGAGCTCCTACAGACCTTCAAGCTCGGACTGTTAGGTAAAGATTTAGATTTTCCTCCGTCACTCGCCGCTTTCTGACCATACAACTAGGATTTACAAGCCTTCGAAGCCTGCAACGCAGTCCGGTACCTGGCACGGCCATCACTGGAGAATGGATTGGGACATTCTGCAGAGAGGTCACCGTTGGGAGAACCCTCTGATGGGTTGGCAGTCTTCCGGCGATTTTATGCAGGGTACTCACCTGAATTTCAAGTCCAAGGAAGATGCCATCTTGTTCGCGCAGAAGCAGGGATACGAGTACTTCGTTCAGGAACCCAACGAGCGCCGCTTCGTCCCTAAGGCATATGCAAACAACTTCGTTCACGAACCAAAGAAGCTTAAGCACATCAGAACCAAGTGATTGTGTTATTCGAGTGTACTATGTATATAACTGCAAGCTTTTGGTCTTTGAAAGGTCGATTCCATAGGTTAAATGGATTTAGTGCGTTTTCAGATGCCTTTCACGAATCACGGCGTACTGTTAGAAGACACTGCATTTACGGATATGACGCTCTGCCGACAACTTGGCGAGCCTTGCTCCTCGCTTTTCTTTTCTATTCTGAACTTCAACCAGCAATTCCCAAATTCGAAAGCCTTCTACGGAGGACACGTGCGAGGAATTGACAACATCAATTACTTCAGCAACAGCCCTTTCACCGAGGAGGTCTTGAACGATCTTCAAGCAGCTTTACTAAAGTCTGGCTTGTATGATGGTCTGGATGAGGCCTGCCAAGTCCACGTTGAGAACTACGTGTATTGTATGATCATGGTATCTTTGATATTATAACGACTGCGAAGGTCCAGATGGCTACGTATACTAATTGGAAATCTAGAAGAGAGTGTGGCTAATTGCTCAAGAGTGGTCCAATATGGAACCGCTGTAAGCCAATATCGGTAGCATGTACTCCGTAGAGAGGTATGCCTATGGGACAGATGGTCCAAGGCCCCAAACTGAGTTGAACAGACATACGCTCAACCACTCCTATCCTAAAATCGGTTGCACCATATCGGCTTCAGCCCTAGACAATTAATCAACAACGAAGTGTTTGAGCTTCAATCACACGACTATAACAGGCATCGGGTCGAAGAATAGATGGACGATTCCGTTAAGGATAGCGAGTTAGGCCTAGTCGCTGCAGCCACCCCCGCCACCCCACCTAAAATTTATTATCTCGTTGAGATAAGATCAGAAAATTTAGATGCTCATGCTCTCTGAGTAAATGTTTGATGCTCTAACCTCTTAGAATTCCATCAGTCTCAATTTCCACCTGTCATCTTCTCCAATTACTTCAGAATATCACCATGTCCCCTTCTGCAACCGATACCACAGAGGGCGTGGATCCCACCATCCTCACTCTTCGCAAAGTCCTCACATCCGAATCGGAGCCGCTCGCTCGCCGATTCCGTGCCTTGTTCTCCTTGAAGCACCTTGCGTGCCTGCAGCCGCCTACCGAGAAGACGCTGCCCGCAATTCAGGCTATTGCTGCTGCCTTTACTTCACCATCCGCCTTGCTGAAACATGAACTTGCATACTGCTTGGGCCAGACCCGGAATCCGGAGTCTGTGCCGTTCCTACAACAAGTCGCGAAGGACACGGAGCAAGATACAATGTGCCGTCATGAAGCCGCAGAGGCGTTGGGCGCCTTGGGTTACGAGGACAGCTTGGAGATCTTGAAGGCGCTTAGAGACAATCAGAATGAGTCCGATGTTATCAGAGAGACCTGCGATATTGCAGTGGACCGGATTCTGTGGGAAAATTCAGAGGCAAGAAAAGCTGAGAAATTAAAGACAAGGTATGAGGCATCTGTATTGATTCACCCTATTTCCCTTTCTCTTTGCAAATGCTTATTGCATCATGTGTACCAATTCACAGTGACTTTACCTCGATTGACCCTGCTCCACCACTCCCAATGACGGCCAGTGAGCCTTCCATTCCCGAAATAGAGAAGACTCTACTCGACACAAGTCTACCATTGTTTCTGAGATACCGTGCGATGTTCGCCTTGCGCGACCTCGCTTCTCCTCCCGATCTTCCCACGGCGACTCGCGCTGTTGAGGCGCTGGCCAAGGGCCTTAAAGATCCGTCTGCACTTTTCCGCCACGAGATTGCGTTCGTCTTTGGTCAACTCTGCCACCCTGCGTCGATTCCAAGCCTCACCGAAGCGCTTAGCAACCAAAGCGAGGCCGGTATGGTGCGACACGAAGCGGCTGAGGCTTTGGGAAGCTTGGGCGACTGTGAGGGTGTCGAGGAGACGCTAAGGAAATTCTTGAACGACCCGGAGCAGGTGGTAAGAGACAGTGTCATTGTGGCTCTCGATATGGCGGAGTATGAAAAGAATGGCGAAGTTGAGTATGCTTTGGTGCCTGATGCTGGCGTTGCTGCTGCATGAATGATCCGGTGTCGAAGGTATAGCTTTACAATATCGGTATTGCGCTTCATTCGTTGCTCCCATAGACGTACAATCATAATCTTGAATGAATACTTCCTCGGTCTCCTAGTTATTTGTGGTTTCCCTGCAGTCATACAAGTATCAGTACTGAGCCCGCAGATGCGATTTGAAGAATCAACGGTGGAGATTGCGTACTTGTAACCGCAAACACAGGTGTAGAACACTGTACTTCCTTCGTCTGCACTGCGCAATTGCACCGTCGTGAAGTACATCTCCTTCCTCCCACATCTGGCACATGTATGTTGTGCCAGTGCTTCAGTTCGCTTATCTTCAGCTGTCAAGGTCTGAACTGCAGATCTCTTGGCTCTTAACGTCGAAGGGAAGGCATTCGGTTTTGACTCAGAGATGATCGTGTTGGGGACAGTATCTGAGGCAAAGTTAGCGCAAGCGCTCATCTCAAACCTTCACAAATGAGGTCAACAAACCTTTATTCCGAGCGCCGCAAACATCGCAGACAAGGACCTTAGTCGGATCACCAGTCGACTCTGGTAGAAGATTTCCACAATCTGTGCAGAAAATTAAAGATCCAATGGCAGACATAGTGCAAGACAAGTTTTCAGTATCGACAGATGATCGATATTGATCTTCAATCTGAGATTATGAGGAGAAGTTAAGCAGAAGACAGAACAGATGCTATCGAATACCTAACAAATCAGGATAGAAAACTCCGAACTTTTTTTTCCTGCTGAGATGCTGCCGCCCGGAAGACCTGCAGCACGGACCACCTGCTTATGTAGCCCCCCGTAACTAAGGACTACTGCCGGGCGGTCAGCAGCGGCAACAAGAGAGTGTGCCTGGCAGTAATTATTATTGTTGGTTGCTTCAGTATTGCGTCGGTGTATCAAGAGCTTCTCAGGGAAGGATGACTGGAGTGAGAGTTGACTTTCTTCACTGATAGTCATGTCTCTGAGCAGGACATGTCTTTCCTGTTTCTATTTCTCACCTCTCCTTCCTAAGTCACTTATACGTTAAAGTCAAATTGCCGCCATGGACCAAAACTGGAGCCCGGCTGTCCAGGTCGTCATCAATGGCCGTCCTCAGGCGCAGGGCCATAGCTCTGGAGGACTTTCGCAACGCCGGACTAGGCCATTGTCTGTTGATGAAGCTTTGCAGTACTCGCCTATGTCTAGCGCGCCAGTGTTTGGCTTAGGTATGCATCATGAGTCTCTCACCTGAATGGTGAAGTCAAACTCACTCTTGATACTTTTTAGACTGTATACTGCGCCCTGACGTTGGCCGACCTCCCACTACCACCTCAATCAATCATATCCTTCAGTCGGGTCGAACGGTTTTGAATGAACTAAATGCTGAGATACAATCCGGGCACGATGAGTCGAGTCGGTTAGAGACATCTCGCGAATATCTACAGCAACTGCTTGATGGTGACCAGTTGACAGAATTGTAAGCAACATTGATCTATAACCACGATACGCACGTAGCAACTAATAATTCTCAGCAAGTTCAAACTTCCCCCTGGATCCGCTCAGGCCAAGAGTTCCCTGCCTAGCCCACCCTCAGAGCAAGCGTCTGGTCGGAATGAGCTTGGCCCGTTTGCAAAAATGATGCTGGATGCTACGGACATAGCATTTCGATGTAAGTCTCAAACTATTGCATTCAGAAACAACGCGCTCTTGAGCTGATCCGTCACAGATCCTACCTCGACGGAAGTCAAGATCGAAAAGCCAATGAGGAAATCCCCGGCGTGGAACGAGCAAGCACATCGAGCGAATAATGCTACTCCGGCGTCTTACAATCAGTCGGCTTACCCAGCAAGCCAGCTGTCTGTCGTTATTCCAGTCAAGTCTATACATACTCTGAACGAACATGGCGCGTCGAAGAA